ATAACAACTCTAGATTTGGGGCTCATTGCCACTCAAACAGCTATTCATTACAAACGACAGATAATTCTCGCAAAAAGTTTTTCACGAAAAACAGAAAGAAAGAAACAAATGGCAGAAAAATTCTTGAAAACATTTGAACATTTGACCGATTCTTCACTTGTCTTGGCATTTGAAAACCAAAAAACACAAACATTTTTATTCATAGTAAACGAAATATCAAATTCTCTTTAATGCCATATAAATACAAGTTTCAAATCAATGTAATTCAATACTCAAACAAATGTGAGTATACTTTCACCATTAGCTTATAAACTATGCATACGTTATGGGGTATGAGTTTTCTGCTCAATTTTTTCTCGTTTTGTAACTCACTGTCAATTGAACTCATTATATGCTGTGAATTACATCCCATTTCATTGTTTGTTCGTTTAAAAGAATTATTAGTTTTTTGGATACATATGATAGCCTCAGGAATTCATTTGAATCATAAAAAGATTAATAATAAGTGTTTAGTAAATGGTGTAAAATTTCATCGCATTTTATGTGAATCTATCATATGATCCAAGAATTTATTTTACGGTATTATTTATGCTCTCTCTCTCTCTCTCTCTCTCTCTCTCTCTCTTCAGTTTAAATATGACAAACTTAATTAATTATTGTATACTTAAGGTTAGAAATTATTATAAGGTAATGAAATAAAAACTTTAATTTCTGAAACTTTAACAAAAATAGTGTAAACTTTTTAAAAATAAAATAAAGAATAAACAAGTATGAAATCCAATTATATATAACTTATATAAAAGATTTGATGAAATCTGAAAATTTCCACAAAAACCCTTAAATATTGTTTGCATAAAGTGTCATGTTTTGCATTTGCAGAGAATTGTCAAAACGCCTTAATCTCACTTTATTCAGAATTGTAATCTTTGCCACAGTAAGCACTCTCAGTATATTTGTTTCTATTAGAAATTTTGACAGCTAATCTGTGATTTTAACATGACTTTTAATGACGTATTTATTTTTGATTTTTAAACTTAAAAAGTTAATTTTCTTTTATTGAGGGAGTTCTTAGAAATTATTCAGTAATACAGTATTTAAAAATTTGTAATCACATAACATAAGAACTAAATTTAGATTAAAATTACATTATATTCAAAAATGTAAAAAAATTGATTGTTAAAAAATGATTTTAAAATCAAAAGTACTATGTGGGCAACATTTTTATTTCCCCGATAAACTACACATTAGTTTCAAAAGCTATTCAAAAATGAAACTCAATATCGTTTTAACATAAATTTATGCAAAAACAGAAGGATTTGTAAGAATATATGTTTAAAAATAAAAAATTTGTATTTTTAGAAAATTATTCTTTGATGACTGAACAAATATACAGTCAATTAATTGGATAAATATTTATAAAAATCAATATCAATGTGATTTTAAAGTTAAGAATTTGTAGTCAAGTAAATATCTACTTATACTGTACTCTATTTGTATTGAATTAAATTAATTGAGTGTTTTGTTAAAACGACGAGATTTATAAATAAAAACAAAAAATATTTTTAGAAATTCTCATTAAATGAGAGGAATTTTGGCGAATGAATACAATTGAAGAAATGAAGTAAAAGAAAAAATAACGAAAAACTTGAGCGGAAATCANCTACTGCCAAACAGGAGTCGAGTGACGACTTCAAGGTATGTATTGTTTGTATGATTTCCGCTCAAGTTTTTCGTTATTTTTTCTTTTACTTCATTTCTTCAATTGTATTCATTCGCCAAAATTCCTCTCATTTAATGAGAATTTCTAAAAATATTTTTTGTTTTTATTTATAAATCTCGTCGTTTTAACAAAACACTCAATTAATTTAATTCAATACAAATAGAGTACAGTATAAGTAGATATTTACTTGACTACAAATTCTTAACTTTAAAATCACATTGATATTGATTTTTATAAATATTTATCCAATTAATTGACTGTATATTTGTTCAGTCATCAAAGAATAATTTTCTAAAAATACAAATTTTTTATTTTTAAACATATATTCTTACAAATCCTTCTGTTTTTGCATAAATTTATGTTAAAACGATATTGAGTTTCATTTTTGAATAGCTTTTGAAACTAATGTGTAGTTTATCGGGGAAATAAAAATGTTGCCCACATAGTACTTTTGATTTTAAAATCATTTTTTAACAATCAATTTTTTTACATTTTTGAATATAATGTAATTTTAATCTAAATTTAGTTCTTATGTTATGTGATTACAAATTTTTAAATACTGTATTACTGAATAATTTCTAAGAACTCCCTCAATAAAAGAAAATTAACTTTTTAAGTTTAAAAATCTTTTTATTTATGCAGTAATTTTCAGTACAATTTTAGTGTCTAATCGACAGTTTTAAAGATTATCTTTGTTTATATGACTCTCACGAATGACACCGTTTCTAATGTTAAGACTTATTTCACTCTAATTGGCGTTTTGACAATTCTCTGCAAATGCAAAACATGACACTTTATGCAAACAATATTTAAGGGTTTTTGTGGACATTTTCAGATTTCATCAAATCTTTTATATAAGTTATATATAATTGGATTTCATACTTGTTTATTCTTTATTTTATTTTTAAAAAGTTTACACTATTTTTGTTAAAGTTTCAGAAATTAAAGTTTTTATTTCATTACCTTATAATAATTTCTAACCTTAAGTATACAATAATTAATTAAGTTTGTCATATTTAAACTGAAGAGAGAGAGAGAGAGAGAGAGAGAGAGAGAGAGCATAAATAATACCGTAAAATAAATTCTTGGATCATATGATAGATTCACATAAAATGCGATGAAATTTTACACCATTTACTAAACACTTATTATTAATCTTTTTATGATTCAAATGAATTCCTGAGGCTATCATATGTATCCAAAAAACAAATAATTCTTTTAAACGAACAAACAATGAAATGGGATGTAATTCACAGCATATAATGAGTTCAATTGATAGTGAGTTACAAAACGAGACAAAATTGAGCAAAAAACTCATACCCCATAACGTATGCATAGTTTATAAGCTATTGGTGAAAGTATACTCACATTTGTTTGAGTATTGAATTACATTTATTTGAAACTTGTATTTATATGGCATTAAAGAGAATTTGATATTTCGTTTACTATGAATAAAAATGTTTGTGTTTTTTGGTTTTCAAATGCAAAGAATCGGTCAAATGTTGAAATGTTTTCAAGAATTTCTCTGCCATTTGTTTCTTTCTTTCTGTTTTTCGTGAACAACTTTTTGCGAGAATTATCTGTCGTTTGTAATGAATAGCTGTTTGAGTGGCAATGACCCCAAATCTAGAGTTGTTATATGACTACCGGTGCCAACTAATGAGCGACAACTTCAGTCATAGGATACTACAGAATATAAGGTTTCGTTATTTTTTGCTTTTCAAACAAAATATGGACTTATATTCTCCCCAAATCTAGAGTTGTTATATGACTACCGGTGCCAACTAATGAGCGACAACTTCAGTCATAGGATACTACAGAATATAAGGTTTCGTTATTTTTTGCTTTTCAAACAAAATATGGACTTATATTCAGTGTGTTATGCAATAGGGAACTACATCTGGGAATAGAATCTCCAGAATTTTATATGAAGTGCTCTAATATATATTAATCACTGAATATTCTGTAAAATATTCATTAAAAGTTTGTTATCTATGAGATCTTGCGATCAAAACAATTGAAACGGGTTTGAATTACCATTTTCTCGACTCTATTATGAATATGTCTAAAAATAAATAATTATTTTATTCAATACTTTTTTTTATTTAATACTCTTTCACTGAATATTAAAAACACTTTTTTCTTTGTTCATTGGATTTATTTTGCGACACAAGAGTCACAGATAAATGAAGAGTGCGATTGGATTGCATTGCATTCAAAGTTTACGATTTCATAAATTGGCTCAAAATCCATAGAAAGCATAGAAGCGATCGAATTCTCATAAGATATCAACTTTTTATATCTTTAGTCCATATCTGCTGTTATATTAATATATGAAAGCATTTTGTCATTTGGTTTCATTCGGGGCACAAGACATCCGATACGATATGGCATTCATTTTTGATAATCACAGCAATCGTTGTTATAAGATTGTGTCGACCTTTTTTGCACAGTTAGCTCTCTCTCTCTCTCTCTCTCTCTCGCTCTCTCTCTCTCTCTCTCTCTCATATGCGTATTTGGAAACAAATACTATATATAGGGAGGGATGGGATGGGATGCTAGAGAGTGAGTGAAAAGTTTAGGGTTTCTTTCGTTGGCTTTTTGAAAGCGAAATAAACACAGAGGAGAGAGGATAGCGCCTGGAGTTTGTGCTCATATAGTTTGTATGTCGGTGTAGCGGGCTATACATCTGTCCATTAAAACGTAATGCAAAACCTTTGCAGTAACTAAAGAACCCTGGATCAGATGTCTATTCGTATTGAATGGCTGTTCAGGTTTTTAACTACGATTGCCATCCAATGCCATCCATTGCCATATTGGGTAATGCAATGCAAAAGATCGACAAAATTTCTGTCACCTGATCCCAGTCGTGCATATTATATGGCTTTTGATCAAATTAAAACAAACTGGATGGACAGCCTATCCATGTGTTTGTGTATAGTGTAAGTGAGAGGATCTCCTGACGCTCTCATAAGCCTTAATTGAATGCTTATTCGTCACAATTGGAAACTCGATACTAACTTCTATACTATATATTCATTTAATTATATTTTATTATTTCATGTTATTATTAGTTTGTCTTACGAATGATATTCTGTTTTAAAGTTTAAAATTTCTTTAAATCTTATTTCTAAAAAAATCTTCAATTATTTTGTCGCCAATTTGTATCGATTTTTCAGATATCGATTTGTTTTACAGATATTTAATGAAAAACATTAACTTAATAATGAGTTCAAAATTGTTATAAAACTTAATTTATTATTTTATTTGTATAGTAAGATTTGTTATAATTATTATAATGTCTAATAGTCTTGAAGTCATGCTATGTTAATGTATTTATATATTTGTAGAGATTTGGCTCACAATATCATTAGAACTATTATAACATTAACTTTTATATCTAACTTATATCTTTATTATAGTTATTATTATTACTTTTGAGATATTTTGCTAACAAAAGCAGTGAAAGTGACATAAAAAGTGAAAGAGGGAACAGTTTTGAATGTATTTAGGGCTCAGTTTTGTGTATTAAACTATAAAAGAGGTTTCTTTCGTGTATTGTATTCGCAAACAATAATAAATGAAAGATTGAATGGATGTGTGTTTTTGGTCCCAAAAACCTCTGCTCTAATCTTCTCTCTCCATAAAGACTCGATCAGACATACGGTATGGTATGTGATCAGTGTCTTTGATGGGCGTATCCCCTAATCTGGCAACACATCAAATACATTCACTACTCATCGCATTCCTCCTCCCATTCTCCGTGTGTTATATAAATATGTCTTTCGTTTTCTCTCCAGAATTCTACCAAATTTTGCCCAAAAATCAATTTTATGTTCTCCATAAAAGTTGCATATTTTCAAGAATTTGTTTTAAATAAATTCAATCAAGTAAACTTTATATTTAATAAGTATTTCGCTGTTTGCAAATAATATTCTGTTTTTATAAATAAGATTTTTATAAATTTTTATAAATAATAAATTTTTAATAAATAATTTTTATAAAATGTACAAAATATATGAAAAAATAAATATAAAAACACATACAATACAAGCACTAAGTGAATGTAACTAATGTTATTGTATGTGAATTACTCTAATTTTTGCCCTTTTCTACACTAAGAGACATAAAAATTCTTGATTCGCTTTTATTAATGTAAAGAATGATTCAGTTCTCCTCCCTATCCCTCACATCCCTATCCCTCTTACTCTATGCTTTTAATACATAACTAATGTCGAGCTGTTGTGATATGATTGTTATTGATGTATAAATAAAGACTTAGAGAACATCACATTTATGTGTTGGTGTCTTATGGTGTGGATCGCCTTAACTCTAAGGACTGTTCGGGTCATTAGTATCGCTAGTTTTTATTGAGTCATTTGTGAGACCACATCCTATCGCCAGTCAGTCAATGCTTTTACAGCAACACAACTCATATGGCTATAAATATACAGATATATCAGCACTTTTAGGTCAATAATATGGGCCGCAAATTGGATGAGATATAGTGTGGGCTCAAAGAGACCATCGATTCTCCTATTTTGATGATGTGTTCGCACTTTCCTTCACTCGTATGATGAATGAGGGAAACACACGCTCTTTGGGCGCCCCAACACACCAATGCATATCTCTGTCATCATTCAGACCATTCAAAGATTGTCCATATTTTCTATTGATTTTTGGCCATCTTTAAGGCAAACTATTATAGCCTTTACTTATTCTCCGATATTTCGCACTTGTTTTTACATGTAATGTGTTTTTGATTATATTTTCTTATGAAATTAACATATTTTTAAATAAATATCACATTCTCTGATCAAATAAATACAAACTTTATTATCGATTATATAACATAAATATCTGAAAATCTAAATCTGAATGGAGGAGAGATTTTGAAAGGATTTACAAATTCTTCACTCAAATACTTTACACAAACTATTATTAAATTCTATGCAAGAATTGAATGAATAAATCCCTATATGCAAGAATTTATATGTTCATATCCATTATACAGTATACTTTAAAAGTACAGTATATTAGAGTAAAACCATGGGATGAGTCTCAATGTGAGAGAATTGTGAATCATTTGTTATGATTACTGTGAATGCGTGAAGAGTTTTGATCAATGGATTACCAAAAATGCTTTATTATATATAAATATAATTTTCTTTTTCTTTTTATTAGACATAGTTTTTATTGCTATTCATTCGTACGAAAACTTGAGTGCAATTCCTTTATTCTGTTTGCTATCTCTTATGATCAATGAGTTTCAAGAATCCGTTAATTCGTTGATACTTTTCTTAAGCATGAGATTTAGTTGAAAAAATTAAAACTCATTTTTAATAATATTCTTTAAAATCTAATTGTCTTTTAATCCTCTAAAATAAGTTTTGAGACAATATTATTTGATTTAATTATTAATAAAATGTATGTTTGAATGCATGGATTAGGACTACGCGGAGACAACGATGAATGAACTGTTGGGATGGTATGGTTATGACAAGTTGGATACGAGAGACACGAAAAATCTAAATTTAAGACATTTCACGTCTAAGAAAAAGATAAACGACTCGTCGGACACAAACACGGGTCGCAACCCATCGACCGCTTCAGTCAAACATAAAGACAACGCAATCAATAGAGACGAGAGCCGCCTATCGCCGTATAGCAGCTCAGATGGTGGCGTAGGAGTGGGCACATCCACCACCACATCCACCACCACAACCCCCACCGCCACCATTACCACCAGCGCTGATAGCACTGGCGTTTGTCGATCGACTTCACCCCCATTAACAATAACCACCACTGAATCCAATTGTGAGAATGGAT